GTTCTTAACTATAACTTTCCTTCTCCACCCCATTCCCATTCACTAGAAAATTCTTTTGTGTAAGCCATTCCTTCTTCAACGAAAGTCCTCGAATTGTAATTAAAACAGCGATTTAAGCTTAGTCTAATATAGTGATGGGTGGCCTGAATGGTCTCCCTCACCCCCTTGCGCCCTTCAACACCCCCTTGACCTTCAGTTCATGGAACTTTACATGGTCATTCTGGCTCAAGACCGTGGCACAGGCTGTTCCCTCTGCATGAAATCCTCTTTCCTCCACTCTTCACCTACCAAACTTCAACACAAGCTTTGGCTGTCTCTGTAAGTGTTGCGTTCTCAGAGAGGCCTTTCACCTCAGTCTGTATCTGTGCTCTGTTATAAAGTCATTCCACCCTTTCTCCTTTACACTTATCGATTTACAATTACATATTTATTTTTATGATTTAAATGATTAGAAGCCCTCTTAACTGATTTCCTCTCACCAGATTCACCAAATTAAACAAAGCTCTCACCTCTAACTATAAAACTGGCAGCTACCCACAACACGCAAAGCCTACTTCTTCTCCCATCAATTCATCATTCATTCAACAAATACTCAATTCTAGGTACGGAGGACTCAGTGCTGACATAACAAATAAAGAGCCCTGCCATCATGGAACATACATTCTGGTGGAAGAGGACAGGCGATAATAAGCAAATAAACAAAATTATGCAGCACTTAGTGATATGAGATATGGATAAGACCAAAACAGGGACTGCTGGGAATGGGGTGGGTGGATTTTGTACTTTCAAGTAGAATAGTAAGGGAAGTCTCATATGAATAAAAGTCTTGAGGACAGTGGGGCAGTGAACTACGTAAATATCAGGAGATATCTGGGGGAGGCACAGTCCAGAGAGAGGTACGAAGGCCCCAAGGAGGAGCCTATCTGACTTGTTCTAGGAAGAGCAAGGTGGCTTGTGTGCATGGAGCTGAGTAGGCAGAGGGTGATGTAATAGGAAGTGGAGCGAGGAGGGAGGGGCCTGTGGAGGACCCTTTCTGCTCTGAGTAAGATGGGTGGCCATTGGTGGATTTTGAACAAGGTAGTGGCGTGATCTGACATTCTTATCATGCTCACTCTGGCTGATGTGTTACAAGTACACTAAATGAAGCAGGGAGGCCAATTAAGAGGCTTTCAAAATAATCAAGATGACAGGTAATGAGAGATTGGATTAAGGTGGTAGCTGTTAAGATAGTTAAGAAATGCTAGGCACTTTTTTTTTCTCGGTACATCTTTTCAAAAGTAGAACTAGTAGGAAGTTGGTACCACTGAACATGAGGTGTGCAGAAAAGTTTTTGGTCTGAGGATCTGGAAGGATGACGTCATTTATTGGGCTGAGGAAGATTGGAAAGAGGAGGTTGAGGTGGGTGTGGTCAGGAGTGCAGTTCTAAACACACTAAGTTTCAGACCACTATTAGAAATCCAAGATCTACCAATTTGTATCAACATTCCTTACATATTTATCATGAATCAGTTGGGTTTGTTCTCAAACTTGATTATATAAGGTGCAGCTCATTGAAATTGCATCAAGTAAATGTTACAAAAAATATGAAAGCTAAGAGAGTTGGTTTTTTCTAAAAGGTAAGTTGAATGCTCTGAAAATGGATGATAAAAGCAAATAGTTTACAAAACCTGCCATCAAACTAGGTGTGGGGAACACAAATTTAAAAGACAGGGTACAAAATTATAAAAATCAAGGGGAATTGGCATTTATTCCTTTCAAGTAAATTTTTTTCTCCTTTGAAAGGGAAATTGGAAATCATAGATGATGATTTACACATGTAATTTCTGCAACAAAGATGTTTCAGAATATCAAATGGATCCATATTCCAAGTAAAGACCTTGACCTTACATCAAAAGATCAGCCAAAGAATGTACATTTATTCATTTAAAATTAAAATGTCTACACTACCTATGTATACAATTCATTATGATTCCCTGCTGTGGTATCCAGCCACCAAGATGACCCAAAGGATTTTGCCTCCTCGTATTCAACCCTTGTGTAATCTCCTCTCACAATGTGTCAGGGTTGGTCTGTGTGACTAATAGAATCAGGCACAAGAGATGGTATGTCACTGCCAAAGCTAGGTTATAAAAGATACTGTGTCTTTTGCCTTGATCTCTCTTGGGTTATTCACTCTGGGGAAAACCAGCTGCCATCTTTTGTTTATTATTTATTTATCCTCACCCCAGGATATTTATTGATTTATGAAAGAAACATCAATGTGGGGGAGAAACATGAATCGGTTGCCTCCTATATGTGCCCAACTGGGGATCAAACACAGCAAACTTTTGGTGTACAGGACGGTACTCCAATCAACTGAGACACCTGGCCAGGGCAGCCACCACATTTTAAAGATACTCAGGCATTATGTTAAGAGGCTCATTTGGCAACAACTTAAAGTTACCTGACAACAGTCACGTGAGTAAGCAAAGCTGGGAAGTCAATTCTCCAGCCCTAGTCAAACCTTCGGACGACTCAATCTCAGGAGAAACCCTAAGCTAGACCCACCCAAACCAGCCATTCCTGGATCTCCAACCCTCAGAAACTGCATAAGAAGTGTTTTAATAAAAAGGTGTATTTGTTGCTTCAGCTGCTAAATTTGGGGATAATTTGTTATGCATCAATAGATAACAAATACACCTGCTTTAACCTATTTTTTTATTTATCTTCTATCATATGAAGCTCTCAGTCCTGTTTAAAGTCCCTGGGCCTTTTCTCTCACAGACTGATACTAAATAAAAGAATTAGCAAAGTCTTGGAATTCATATATTTCAAGTGCTTTCAAATGTCAACATGCTCCTCTATATTCAAGTATTATTTCAAACACAGCAAATTATAGAAGTCCATATATATATTTCCTATATATAAATGTTCAGTGTGAAAGGTTTTTGCGGCACACATAAGAGACAGTTAAAAGCAAAACACTGAGTGGTGTTTGATGTATCAGCTGCTTTGCTGTGCCTTTTAAGTAAAAAATAAAAAGTGTCATAGAAGAAAAGTTTGCTTTTTTTTTTCCTGTGCTGAAATCAGTCCTTTCCTACCCAAAAGATGAAGGATAACTAAGGGTTCTGACTGGGTAGGTGTAGGAAAAAAACAAACAAAAAAGAACCTCAGCAAAGGAACTGTGCAGCCTGATCAAAGATGTCAGTAGCACAGGAGAGAAAGAGATTAAAGGTGAAGTGGCAGGGGAAGTATCACAGAATACAGGGCATAGAAATAAACACTATGTCAGAAATAGGAGTAAAAAAAGTGACATATAAGAACAGTAAGAATGACGGTGGATAAACTGAGTGAGTTTATAAAGATTTCCTGCAAAGTCCTACAAATATTGTAATAGGACACTGAGATGCTTGTATTGAAGTATTTTGAGCATACAGAGAGGTTTATTTTTTAACAAAGGTTTTATTTATTTTCTTTGAATAAAGAAAGAAAAGGAAAGGGAGGGAGAAAGAGCAGAAGAGAAACATCTATTGGTTGCCTCTCACACACCCTCAACCAAGGATCTGGCCCTCAACCCAGGCATGTGCCCTGACTGGGAATCAAACCAGTGACCTTTCGGTTTGCAGGCCAAGCCAGCATTCAACCTGCTAAGCCATACCAGCCAGGAGCAGAGAGAGATGTTTAAAGTGCAAAACATGAAGTTCATGTGGTGGAATCAAAGAGGGGGGCATGAGAGAACAGTGTGGCAGGTGACAAAGAAAACAGGGATGACTTTTGGCTCGGAGGAGGCGAAGGTGCAACTTTCTTGGTTGTCCCAAATCCGGGTTCATCCAACACCAGCTGCCTCCACCATGCCCCCGAAGTTCGACCCCAACGAGATCAAAGTCATTTACCTGAGGTGTACGGGCAGGGAAGTCGGTGCCACATCCACCCTGACCCCCAAGATCGGCCCCCTGGGCTTGTCTCCAAAAAAGGCTGCTAACGACATCATCAAAGCAACTGGTGAATGGAAAGGTCTGAGGACCACAGTGAAACTGACCTCAGAACAGACAGGCCCAGATTGAATTAGTGGCTTCTGCCTCTGCACTGATCATCAAAGCCCTCAAAGAACCACCACAAGACAGAAAGGAGCAAAAAAACATCAAGCACAGTGGAAATATCACTTTTGATGAGATCGTCGGCATCGCCTAACCATCTCTGGCTAGGCGTTAAAGAACTCTCTGGAGCCATTAAAGAGATCCTGGGGACGCCCCGTCTGTGGGCTGCAACGTCGATGGCTGCCACCCTCACGACGTCATAGATGACATCAACAGCAGTGCCGTGGAGTGCTCAGCTAGTTAGGAACTACAAAGGAAAATATTTCAATTAAGGGTCACTTAACAATTAAAAAAATAAAGAAAACAGGAATGAGATTGAGATTCAGATCTGGTTTCTCAGTCTATCTCCAACCCTACAGACTAGCAAGGAAGAGATTCCACTCATATTTGTATGGTTTGCTTATTAAATTATACATTTAATAGCTTAAAATATAATTATATACATTTTCTATACTGTACATATTTAATTATCCTAAAATACACCTTTTTATTAAAAGCCCCAAATCAAGAGTACTTTTTGATGTCAAGATAAACCCTTCTCATCATCAGGCATCCACAGTGCTATCCGGGAAGCATCGCTCTCGTTGACTAAATGTGTCTGAATACTAACCAAGCAGCAGTGGGAAAGGGCGATGTCTGAACAGGGATGGATGCATGTACACCAATAGGATAAATTCATGTTGTGTTTCATGGCATTATTAATCAAAACATTTTAAATTATTAAAATGCAAGTATTTTGACTTCATTCATTATAAAACTGTCTCTTCTCCCAGTTGGTACACAAAGAAAACATTTACACTTGATTTCAATTCTTCTGCAGTTGTCTGCGTTTTCTATGCTCGTACGTGAGTCTTTCATGGAGACTGCCAGTACAAGTATGCCCTTGCATAAGCATTGTATGAAATACAAAATACACCAGCAAGATACACCATCACTTTTTTATTTGGCAGTAGTAGAACTACATCCATGTTATAGTGCTTATTTTGGATAAAGAGCCAGTGCTGTTTGTTTTTTTTTTGCTACTGTAGTGTTTCACTTTTACATAAACTAGTTGGTACAGTCCTTACATTTAGGAAATAGATACATTTACTGATGATATCAGCCAAGTAAAGCTAATACATGGTTGTTCTTGAACTAAGCAAAACATAACACAATATAATCATTAGGAACAAAGCCCAGGATGCCCTTATTTCCATTAATCATAGATTATACAAATTCCTAAGTCTCACATACAGAGATATTTCTAAATTAGATTAATACAAGCAAATAACCAAAATTTTGAATTCAGCCTAATTTGTAAAATACGTTGAAGTGTATATTCCAAATAATTCCATAATGTGTTCACATTAAAATACAAGCAAATTATGTTACAAACATAATTTAAAACTTCTGATTATGAAAGGTCACAGAGAAGTATATTAAATGTTACTTTGGCATTCCTATTTCATATGTTTAAAGGAGATAAAGCATTCTTTTGTAATGCAAATAATCATTCCTTAGCTAATCATTTAAGTACAAAATGTTACATCTTTAAGGCAAGAAAAAGTTTGTAAATATTTTTGTAAAGTCAATTAATTCAACAAATAATATAATCATAGTAAATGGATGCAAACACAGAATATAGGAGAGAAAGTTCTTTGGAGCTGACTATAACAGAATAAAAAACCTGACTTCTTTTTAAAAAGATAATCTCATTTTGATATTTAATAAACATCGTAAGTCTTAGAGAAGAAATAACTAGACTTTTAGTTAAAAATTTAGAGAAACCAAAATAGAAAAAAAAAAGCCAAATATAAATCACCTGAACACTCATCTTTTTTCTCCCAGAAAACAGAAATGGAAAAAAAGTCCATTTTCTCAGAACTAATTCAGGGCCCTCTTAAAATTTACATATAGAAGTGGATAGTAGGACTCATGTGGCAATGGCAATTTTCTGATAATACTACCATGAATAAATGTTAAACAGGGTTTTAACCTAAAAGATTTTAAACTAGTTTAAGTCATTTTCTTTTATTTTTAAAACATTAACTGTTTAACCCCATTTCAAGGAAAATTGCAATTGGTATATATGTCTTAAGTGGTCTTCTGTGGTCAAAAATATTTTAAAGAGATATTTCTTTTAAAAAAGTCATTTCTTCTCTTACAATAGAGAAGTTTTTTCCCCTATACTTATTACCCTGAAATTCTATTTGGTCACTCTTGACTCTTTCGTTAAAGGCCACAAAGAAAGGACTTCCCCAAGTAGTAGCTACTGAACTGACCAGAAACTAATCAAACTCAAGCTCTTAATTAGACAAACCAACCTCTTGAATATGGCCAACTTTTTTTTAAGGTGAAATAAAAAAGAAAAAAGAGAAACACCTTCTGGAAAGCCATTCATCTTACCTGATGAAATAAATTCTTCAGTTATTTTACATAGTAGCAGCATTATTAAATAGTGCAATTCTTCAAAACAGATTTCAAACAGTATCTTCCTCAAATAAAAGAGTCATTAAGTTTACTTATAGCTTTGTTTATAACACCACAGTTTAAAATATTTAGCCCCTACCAAACAGGAAAATTAATATAAACAATAACTGTCTTGCCTTCAGGATAACGGGAATGTGTGTGTGTACGTAAGTGTGTATGTGTGTGACTCATTCAAGGCCAGTGGTACTTCAATAAGAAGCTAAAAATACAAGGTATAAGTTAAAAACTAGAACATTACATAATGGAATTTTTAGCTTTGATACTTTTAATGATATTCCTCCATCAATAAAAAGCATTATAAATAGCCAATTCTTAAATTAAGAATGTATATAAGAAAAGTCAAAGAACTATATGCTCAAAAATTATGAGACCAATATGTCTTATTACTTAGTGCTATAACCTGTACGGTATGGAACACAGTACATGCAAACAGCATGAAGGTGTTGAATCTCATATTTTGTAACTACTGTTACCTAAATGTGGCATATATATATTTAAAACCTTAAAAAAAAATTACACCCCCTCACTACTTTTCATTAATTAGAAACTAGACACTTAAATCTAAAAATGCATTTTAAAAATATATTTAAATCCTTCTAGGTAACTTACTCCTAAAATGAATAAAGCCCACTTTAAAAACAAAATCAACAAATCCAATACATTGACATACTGCATCAGCCACTCCTAGTAAGTAGTATATGATTTAGACAGAAAATTAATACAATTCTGAAAGTATCTAATATACTCTAAAGAGCCTTACTTATATGAACAACCCATCTGTTCATATATTTATCATAAAGGACATGAAATATACTTCCATACCATTAAAAATAATTCATCTCAGTGTTCTTTGATGAAAGACTGGATAAAGAAGATATGGCACATATATTCTAAGGAATATTACTCGGTCATAAGAAAAGAGGAAATGTGGCCATTTGCAACAACAGGGATGGACCTTGAGAATGTTTTGCTAAGTGAAATAAGTCACTGAGAAAAAGCTGAGGACCATATGATTTCACTCACGCATGGGGTATAAAACTGACACAGACAGACAGCAGCATGCTGGTTACCAGAGCAAAGGGGGTGGGGGCTTAGGAGATGATGAGAGGGGGCCAAATGTGCGGTGACAGAAATGGTCTGACTGGGGGTGGGGACACAGTGCAGCACACAGAGCATGGACCACGGAAATCTGCACTTGACACTTTGGTGACCCCACGGACCAGTGTCACCCCCATAAAGTCAATGAAAGTACTTTGTTCTTCATTCATGGGGGAAAACCCCTTCTTTAAAACCTCGCTTAGATTGAAAGTATGAATATTTTAAAAATATGGACATAATATGACAAAATGTACTAAGTTTTCTGTGAGAATAACTAAAAACCAGTTTTGCAGGAATAGGGAGAAATCATCTTACTAAGATTAATAACTTCAGATGTTGGGAGATTGTCTAAAAACTACACAGAAAATATTTTAATTGTCTGTCATAGTTAATAACTTATCTTTTAATCAATATTCATTTAACAGGAAAATGCTCTAATCTATAAAAAGATAAAAGAAATTTCTTTCGTGTCTCTATTCTAACTTATAGGACCAACAGTAATATATTTTGGAAATAGTAAATCTAATATGATCTTACAACCTGTAAACATCTCAGTGTCAATTCATTTAAATGTTTTATAACAATACTCAACCATTACAATTTATCTGATTCAAATTCATAAGCAAATATACAAGTAATAATGTAAGCAGTACATATTAAACACCACTACTGTCTAAACGTGATTAAACAAATGAATAACTTGACGATTAAAAATACATTTTCAGGCAAAGTTAAGCTTGTCAGCACTAGGAGTAATGCATTCTTGTATGTGTGTGCCACATAGGTCTTAGCTAAAGTGTTTCATTTCAAGGTGCAAAGCATCGAAACAGAGCTTTTGAGAATGATAGTGGATACTCCAGATAGCTTCAAGACGACAAATCAATTAACTCCCAAGTACTGACTTCAATTCAAGCAATATTTCTGTAAAATATGCAACATTTCACAACTTCAATTATTACCTAAAGACTACAAAAAGCTGCTTTGGATACACTACACAGGGATTCGATGACAGAACTTCTGTGTAAGTACAGTGCGGTCACTCACTCTTTACTAGACTGTTTTCCCTCCCTGAGTCCATAGCCACCGGTTCTGTGTAATGTTACAGAATCAATAGTTACCTTCAAACAGTTCACGACATATTCAAATTGTCTGATTTTCATGACACTTATTGCACTTTGGCTTCCACTAGGCCACTGGACAAGACATGACCGTGACTACTTGTACAGCCACTTGCGTGCCTCAGGGCATCAGCTCCAAGATAGGCCATTAAAAGTTCAGTGCGGCGAATAAGTAACTGCATGAGGTCTTCGGCCAAAGTCTCTATACTGGAATAGCGTACTTTCTCGAAGTCAAATATGTCTTTGAGAAAGAAAAGAACCTGATTCTGGAAAATAAACACAAAACAACTGGCACTTACTATATCAAAATTATATTAAGTCTAAATAGTTACTAATGTTGTAACATGCATTAAATTAGGAGTCAGAAGGCCCAAGTTCCAGTCCTATTTCTTTTTAAAAATTATTTTAAATGTATTTATTGATTTTAAAGAGAAGAAAGGGAGAAAGGGGGAGAAGGAGAAGGGAAAGGAGAGAGATGGAGAGATGGATTTGTTGTTCCACTTAATTATGCCTACATTGGTTGATCTCGATTCTTGTATGTGCCCCGACCGGGGATGGAACCTGCAACCTTGGCATATGGGGACTCATTGTAACCAGCTGAGGTACCCCTGGCCAGGGTGGCAGTGCTAGCTTCCCATCTCACTGGAAAGGGGGCATTGAAGAAGTGATTAAATCTCTTTGGAGTCTCATTTTCTTCTTCTGTAAAATAAGGGGCAACATTTCTTGTCCCGTTTTACTTCTCGTCCTTTTTTACTTCTCAGGGATGATGTTGTAATAAAAAAATATCTATAGAAAATGCCTGAAAACCTTAAAACGCTATATAAAGATAAGGGGCTGGTATTATTCCTTTCCCAATAACTGAAGTTTTCAATGTTACCTATGAGCAGCGGTACTACTTTAGGACAGAACAGTAAACCATTTCCAATAACTATGACTTACAAGTTTTAAGTGTATGGTTTTTTGTATATAAAAAACTTAAGATACATGAAAAATAATTTCAGGTCCCAAATCAGTGAAAAAACGAAGACTATTCATTTTAGTACATTAATACTTATGCCCCCAATTCATTTTAAGCAGGTTGTATCGAGTCTCAGGCTGTTATGCCACCATGAAAATAAAAGTAACTTAGAGGAAAAAACAGGGATATTTAATTTCTGTCCTAGAGAAATCAAGTGTTAAAAAGTACTAAGAAGACATGCCTCTTAGACCCACTGGACTTTGTACCTGGAAGGTCATTAACAATCAACCCACCAAGCTCCCTCGTTTTACAGATGCAGGAGGACAGAACAGGATTTGCCAGTCAGATTGTGTGTTAATGACAGACTTAATCCCCAGTCCAAATTTTCCCCACTAAATGCATACTTTAACTTATATTTGGGAGGTTAAGTAAACTAGTCAAAAAATAATGAGTTTTGAATGATAGTAAAATAAATATTTTCTAAATTATGTACATAAGTGCTGCATTAACAGCACATAAAATTTATTTTTTAATGAAAGGTATAATGAAACATCCAAACTTTCAAACGTAACAACTTTCAAATTCATACTTGCTTCTATTTACTTTTTTATTTACTCCTTGAAACTCTGCCTGAACTCAAGGCTATTAAAAGAGTGAGGCTTTTCCTGGCACTATGCCGAGCAGAAAACTCTGCAATGACCTATATAACATGTGTTTTGGCAAACTTGAACTGCTGACATTGGGCTACAATGTCAGGCTCTCATGTTATTTCTCACAACTGGGATTCTATCATTCATACTGCCTTGAACCAGAACTTATTTCTAAATTGCCACATGAGCAATACAGACAAATATTTATTTCATACATTTCAAAAGCATCTAGGCATGAAGAACAAACTATCTACAACAATTTCACTGGAACATCACAACCCCGTCCAAGAACATGCATCCGTCACAGGGGGAATTGAAAGGTGATGGACTTGTATCTATTCCAGGGTAAAGCACCATGTCTACATAATACGGATCAAGATGCATTTAAACACTGAGTTTAGGTCACTTTTATAACTTTACCTTTAAAGACCATTCTTTCTTCTACAAACACACAAAACAAAACAGAATAACACCTTACTGGCTTTTTGATTTAGAAAAAAGAGGTGATTCATGCCCTGGCTGGTGTAGCTCAGTGGACTGAATGCAGGCTGTGAACGAAAGGGTCACCAGTTCGATTCCCAGTCAGGGCACATGCCTGGGTTGCAGGCCAGGTCCCCAGTGGGAGCCACATGGGGGGCAACCACACACTGATGTTTCTTTCCTGTCTCCCTTGCCCTCTCTCTAAAAATAAATAAATACAATCTTTAAAAAAAAAAGAAAAGAAAAAAGATGATTCAATTATTGGACATACCTTAAAGAAGCAACATAAATCATAGAGCGAATTCCTAGGACCCAAAAAGCCCCAGGCCAGGACAGGGCTGATATGCTCACAGATGGCATAAAAATGGGCAAAAAATCCATCTGGAATCTGTTGGGAGGTAAAGGAAAATCGAGTTATTTTTACCTTTTTGAATGTGTTTTCTCTTTAGGAACTTAAATTGCTGCCCATCATGTGACCAGATCCTTACGAGGGAAGACCAGGGTCAATGATGTACCAGTCTAGTAAGAAAGTTAATAAACTTACAAGTAGCTTTAGTTACAGAATGTTTTCTGTAATTTCGTAACCTAGCCAATAGTGTCCAATATGCTGAGAAACATTATTTCTTAAAGGCATTTTCACTTTATAAATATACTTCATAAAAAAGCAATCATATCAGTGTCATAACTGAGCAAAAATGAGAATGGCACAGTGTTCCTTAGCAGCAAAATTTTTAGGATTAGTGAGACCACCATGGTTTCAGCTATGATTAAGTATAAAACTGTGCTCATTAGAATCCTTTTAGTTAAGAAATGAGATATTATTGAAACATTTGTGTTATTGCCTCTTCTTGTGAAATAGTAATACATACAGTTGTGATTTAGGAAACTCTCTAGTTTATCAATAACTTTCTGAATGTCCCTGGTTAAATAAGATCCTGTGGGACTTGTCATACAGTATCAACTGGGGATAACTATGCCTTAAGATTTTTTTTTCTTGGAGGGAAAAAAATTTATATTTTACAGGTGCTAAGATATCTCCTAAACCTCAATTTAAGAAATTATTACAGCAGCAATCGCCATTTAAGGAGTACTCATTATACTCCAGATAATGTGCTAGAGTTTATTTAATTTAATAAAACGTTCCTGAAAAAGTAGGTCATATCAACATTTTAATATGTAAGAAGTGATACTTCAGAGGGATTAAATAACTGGTCCTAAATCACCCATAGCTAGTCAGTGAAAGCCAAAAAGTTATCAGGGATGCACTGACGTTATTATTCTAGTACAGGAGATATTCTGCAAATTAAAATTCTAAACCTTATACAGACTCTAACTGTATTAGGAGTTCAAACAGGTAAGGAGTTAGCACAGGCTGAAGTAGAAGAGACATGCTTCACCAAGGAATAATTCTGGTGAGGAGGTTAGGCAACTTACTAGAGGTCATGGCTAGTAAGTGGCATTTGAAACCAGGCAGTCTCACTACAGAATCCATGCCACTGACCATGGGAATGAAAGGTAAGAGACGTAGTGGGTGAGACGAGCTAAAGGATATACAACATGGAGGCAGGATATAAATTTTGAGTCTTCCTTTTGTACAGCCTCTCATTTGAATAAAAGAGCTATTAGAATCAAACCAGCCTTGGCTGGTGTAGCTCAGTGGACTGAGCTTGGGCCTGTGAACCAAAGAATCAAATCATTATTTCTTACTTGGATTACACAAAGTACAAACCACTATATTAAACAACTGTCTAAAATCAAAACGAAAATCAAAACCCTCTTAGGGCTGTTTCCAACTCTAAACCCTCTCCCACTTAGTAGAAAACCCACACATGCCTCAAGACTTGCTATGCTAAACTCTACAGAATGTTAAGGAAAAGAGAGAGAGAATTCAAAAAAGGAGAAGCCAACCATGTACCAATAAGTCACTCCTCTAGCTTCAGGGACAGTCTTTATGACCTGCCGTTCCTGCTTGAGAACTGACGCAGGTGTTTCTTTCACAGGAGCCTCACTCAAATTACTTAACGAAGAAGTCCACAGTATTTTACCTTCATCTGCTGCCTTTTCTGCTTCAGCACCGACCAACAACTTGAAGCCACAGCCTAAATATATGCAGAGGAGAAAAAGCAAGACTTAAATTTATAACTGTATAAACTTTCCATTTAGAAAAGACTCATTTTTATTAGAAATTCAAAGTTGATGGGTCTAATGTTCAAAATATTAACTACTAAGAAGAACAAGGCCAGGTTCCTTCTATTGTTTGTAAATATTAATGAGAAGGCATTTTGTTTTTATAAATTTTAAAATTAAGTATTAAGTCTGTTAAAGAAAAAGCTGAACTCTGACACCAAAGAACTTGCAATTAGAATTCAACTCTCAGAGTTCTTAAATTCTGCTGCTAGGGGAAAGGAGTAAAAATCTGTATACATAGATGCACATACACAATAAAGGTTTTATGCGTAACAGTGAACACTAAGCACTTCCCCCACCCAGGAACAGTACCGCTGGAAATAATTGTGGGTAAAGCAAAGTATCACCCAAACAAAGAAGTAATAAAATATAACCATGACGATAGGGACAATGTACTACCCAAGTGGATCCTGAAGAAATCTGACCCTGCTCTGGCATGACCCAACTTTAATCAAGGTCAATTTACCAAATTAGTAATGGAAATGGAGATAACATGTACCTTTTAGGGTGAAAACATACTTTGAAGGAAATGTGGATTTATTAAAACTGTTGTTAAATTTTAATACGAGAAATTTGCAAAATAATTGTGAAACAACCCACTGGAACATTTTTAATTTAAGCAATCAAACTTTATGATGAATATCTATCCCATCTACTTCTAGGTACACACTTAAAGTGCCCCCCCAAATGTCAAATAGAGATTTGAGTACAAAAACCAACAGAAACAAAAAATACTGCAAGTGCAGAATACAGTTTAAACCTGTTTTTGGAGGGGGAGAGGCATATGCGCATCTTTTTCTCCTCTAATTTTTTATAGTATTTGGGAACATGAATCCTCACATTTTTCTCTAAAAATATACATTGTCTTTTAACTGCCACTGCTATATTTCAGTTTAAACATAGAGTCCTTTCAGTTACGGACAATTTTTTGTGAGGCCTGAACTAGTGTGAAGCCTAAGGTGTTTTGTTAGTTGTTTTTGTTTTTAGATCTAAAGAAGTATTGAAAATTTCAGGTCAAGACAAGGACTGATAGAAGAGCCAAAAAGGAAATTTCATTAGAAGACGTTCTACATTATACACATCCGATCCTCGGTGTCCACATTAGTCAGAGTACAGGCAATGTACATGTAAATCTTACTACTATTCCCATTTCTGACCATTTTTCATTACATTTACATGGTTGAAAAAGATAAACCACCACTTACAGTTTCTTTGAAGGAGGAGTTTAGCCAACGATTATTTACTACATTCTGTATGGATGTGGGTGGGTTTTCTAAATCTTCAAAGGAATCCATTAATATAAAATCCAGAACAACATCATAAAAATTTAGATTATTCACCTGCATTAAATTATAAGTTAAAGCAGAAATTGTAATTACGTAGAGCTAAAATAAAGTCTGAGCCAGGGCTTCATACTTTTAACAGCTGGGTGTTTTTAGTTTAATCAGATTATATCCCTGACAAAAAGAAGAAGAAGAAGAGAGACAAATATGAAAACAACTCAACCCCAGAAATTACAATTTCCATGAGAGCGGTTCCTTCCTCAGTCCCATCAGGTGAAATGAAGCTCTCCCTTCACTCTGTTCCAGGAGTCCTTTGTTCGTGTTTTTATTATGGTATCCACAAAGCTCATTCTGCTTTGTCACTGAGTTATTGGTGTAGCTGTCTGTCTTCCCCACCACATCATGAACCTCTAGCTCTTCTGTTCATTCATGAATACTTTATTGTACTATTTGCTGTACCAGGTGCTCAGTCTTCTACAGTAAGCAAACTAGATGCTTCAAGTTTCATGGGAAAAACAGACAGCAATAAATAATCCCACACGTACACAATTACAAACTGCGATAAGCACAGTAAAGGAAAAAGTACATGGTAATCTGAGAGCTTGTGGTGGGCTTCTAAACTAGATGTCAGTCTAGTGACATCTAGACTTTCTTCAGGGAATGAGGCATCCAGGTACTGGAAATAGCCTGTTAGGACTTTAAGGTAAGAAGGGCAAGTGGTGCATTGAAGAAAGTTGCAGCAAGCATGCTGTAGCTCATGACAGCAGAGACCAGAGGCGAGGCTAGGAGGAAGGCACAGCTCCTGCAGAGTTTATGGGCCGTGTTAATGATTCTGGATTTTATCTTCACGGTATTTTAGGGGTGTAGTGGTGGAAAGGAGACGGATGATCAGATTTGTACTTTTAAAGACAATTTGGGCAGCAATGTGGAGAGTGGAATGCAGAGAAAAGAGTGAATGCAGGGAGGGGAGGAGTAGGCAGGGAATCAGAGAACGCAAAGGTGCCTGAGGTAGTCCATGGAAGACAACAGTTATTCTGACAACAGCAGGGCTGGCAGAAATAGAGAAAAGTTGGAGAAACGGGAAGATATTTAGAAGTTAAAATGACAAAACTTAAGAGAAGAATACAATAAAGTAGGTGAGGGCCAGGGAGGTATAAAAGAAAAGACCCAGGTTTCTGGCCAGCACAATTGAATGGGAGCTGATTCTTTCACCACAGCGGGTACACTGGAAAAGATGATGCCTCTGTGTCTCTGTACCTGCCTAGAAAGCTTGTGGTCCCTTGTAATCTCAGTCTTCAAGCTTCCATGACAACAAATCTTCCAGGCTCACCATGTACTTTCCCTATCCCAGGGCTGAAATCAGCCATTTTTCCAAGGAGTCCTAGTTCCTTTTAGTGTGGATTGGTACTTAGAAGCCAACATGTGTGTGCCCTCAAGGAGTAGTTTCTCTGAGGTGCTGCTGCTCCCAGACGCTCTCTGTGAACAGAACTGGTAAGTACATGTATGTGTATGTATATGCAAGACTTTATATTTATTTTCATATCTATCATAAACTCTGAATTTATACTGACATCTCCAAATCCAAGCCTAGCTTTTTATACCTCTGCTCTCCAGCAGTAAGATGCCTGGTTCCAATTATTCTCCACAGATTTGTTTGTTTAATCCTGTGCATGTAATCAATGCCCTGGTCCCAATGAGCTGCCCATCTGAAAGCACGTATGCAGAGGCCACCATTTCTACCCTGCTCGGGCCTGCTCTTGACTTTCAGAAGGGAAAGGAGGAAGGTAAAGACTTTTTAATAAACAATAATTTTCAACTGTTGCCCCAATGCACAAAGCCTGTGGTTGCTATTGTTTATGACTCTGTCATAAACACCACCACACATTGGGATTTACTGTAAAGAAACAGTGGCCTCAAATTATGTAAATATTATACATAAATAACAAAGAGGAATAATTATTATAAAAATATTTGATCTTACTCCTCTAGCAGCAAGTTCCATTTCAGTACTATCCCAGTGGTCAGTCTGCTCTAAAAAATAGATCATTTCATCAAAAACATCTTCAAACTTCTTTGGATTCTGCAGAAGAAAAGACACTTTAATCCTAAACTCAACTTTTTATAAAAATGAAATATTTTACTGTTGTTCTATTACAGCTGTCCAAATTTTCCTCTGTTGCTCTCCCCTGCCCCGCCAACTCCACTCCGCTCCCACAGTCAACTTCCAGCCTGTGGTCCATGTCCATGGGTCATTTATGCTTGTTCTTTAACCAAGCCCTTCCCCTTCTTTCCTCCCTTATCCCCCTCACCCCTCTCCTGTGGTCACTGTCAGTCTGTTCCTTGTTTCCATGCCTCTGGTTCTATTTTGCTCATTAGTTAATTAATTAATTTATTTAAATATTTTATTTATTTTTTTTAAAGAGAGGGGAAGGGAAGGAGCAAGAGAGGGAAACATCAGTGTGTGGTTGCCTCTCACGTGGCCCCCAATGGGGAACTGGCCTGCAACCCAGGCATGTGCCCTGCCTGGAAGTCAAACTGGAACCCTTTGGTTCACAGCCCGTACTCAATCCACTGAGCTACACCAGCCTGGGCTCGTTAGTTTATTTTTTCATTAGGTTCCTCTTATGAGTGAGATAACATGGTATTTGTCTTTCATTGACTGGCTTATTTCACTTGGCATAAGATTCCCCAGTTCCATTCATGCTGTCACAAAAGGTAGGAGTTCCTTCTTTCTTTTTGCTGCATAGTACTCCATTGTGTAAATGGTCCACAGTTTTTTGATCTACTTACTTACTGATGGGCACTTAATCTGTTTCCAGTACTTGGCTATTGTAAATAGCGCTGCTATAGGGATGCGTAAGTGCTTCTGAATTGGTGTTTCAGGATTCTTAGGGTATAGTCCCAGCAGTATAAATACTGGGTCAAAAAGCAGTTCCATTTTTAGTTTTTTGAGGAAGTTCCATACTGTTTTCCACAATGGCTGCACCAGTCTGCATTCCCACCAACAGTGCAATAGGGTTCCCCTTTCTCCACATCCTCACCACCACTTATTTGTTGGTTTATTAATGACGACCATTCTGACAGGTGTGAGGTGATATCTCATTGTAATTTCAATTTGCATCTCTCTGATGTCTGGTGACACTGAGCATCCTCTCACCCATCTATGGGTGATCTGTACATCCTTGGAGAAGTGTTTAGGTTCTTTGCCCGCTTTTTAATTGGATTGTTTAACTTTTTGGTGTGGAATCATATGAGTTCTTTACATATTTTGGATATCAAACATTTATCCAAAGTGTCATTGGCAAATATTTCCTCCCAGACAAATCGGTTACCTTTTCATTTTGATGATGGTTTCTTTAGCTGTGTAGGAGCTTTTTAATTTGATGTAGTCCCATTTGTTTATTTTTTCCTTTATTTCCCTTGCCCTAAGAGATATATTGGCAAAAATATTGCTACATGGGATATCTGAAATTTTGCTGCCTATGTTTTCCTCTAAGACTTTTATGGTGTCACACCTTGTAATTAAGTCTTTTATTCATTTGAGTTTATTCTGGTGTATGATATAAGTGTGTGGTCTAGCTTCATTTTTTTGCATGTACCAGTCCACTTTTCCCAGCACCATTTATCGAAGAGACTATTTTTACTCCTTTCTCAAATATTAACTGACCATAGAGATATGGGTTTATTTATGGATTCTCTATTCTGTTCCATTGATCTTATGCCAATACCAGACCATACTGATTACAGTGGCCTTGTACTATAGTTTGATATCAGGTATTGTGATCTCTCCTACTTTGTTCTTCTTTCTCAAAACTGCTGAGGCTATTGGGGGTTGTTTTGGGGTCCATATAGTTAAAATATTTGTTCTAGTCTGTAAAATATGCCATTGGTATTTTCAAAGGGATTGTGTTGAATCTATAGGTTGCTTTCTGTAGTATGGACAGTTTAATGATGTTAATTCTTCCAGTCCATGAACACGATATATGCTTCCATTTATTTGTGTCTTAATTTCTTTCTCCAGTGTTCCATAGTTTTTGGAGTGTATATCTTTTACCTGCTTGGTCAATTTTATTCCTAGGTACTTTATTTTTCTTGTTGCTATAGTTAGACTAACCTTTATAACAAGGCTTAAACCTACAAAGTAAATAAGCTACTCTTCAATCAAATTTGTTAGGTCTTCATTCTCTTAGGGTACTGAATCAAAATACATTTTCTAGGTATGCCATATTCACTCAGTTTAAGAGTTTGTTGTTCCAACATTTTGAAGAAGCCAAGACTAAGAATATTTGTAAAATGTCATAAGCAAAGTGCCTACTACCTGGATATATATGATTATTTAAGTCCGTCTTTAACATGAAAACTTGGTCACAGAAGATACCATCTGATGCTTTTGATACAGTTCTATTTCTTTAGGAGGAACTCTAGTTCAAATCACTGGGTTTATCTGCCATGGGAAGGCTGGGAAAGCAACATAATATTAACACTGGGAATAGCAAGTAGTTAATATCACCTTTCATTTACTTTGTACTTTTTAAACAAATTTGGTTTCCCATTTATTATTTATTTAATCATCATTAGAACCCTCTAAATAGCATGCCATAAATATAACTCTATTATATAAATAACAGGATTGAGGTTAAACTAGATTGGGCCTGAAAACCAGGTGTTGAAATGATTCAAGGAAATCTGTTCTATTTTGGTTTTCCTCATCATCCAAACACACCTTGCATACAGAAAAGTGGTTCCTCATAGTCTTAATGAAGTTCTTTTCACTGCTTCTGCCTCATTCAGTCCCATGAAGATGAATAAGAGTAAGAGGCAGCTTAATTTGTATTTCCAGATTTCTGAGATCTATACTATTTCCTGGAACTTTGTCACTGAACAGAATTAAAGGAGGTAAGAGAAGAGGTGTTAAAAATAATAACAGTGGTGACTATCAGCAGATGTAATGATGATGCTTACCATGACACTCACAGACTTTATGGCAAACTGGGAATAATTTATGAGAAACAACAGGATCAAAACAGAGTGGGTTTTATACACAGAAGTAATTCAGCCCAAGCAGAAATCAATGCTCTTTAGAGACTATTGATTTTCAATATGTGAACTTTTGCAGCTATCTACAAAAACCATTTCTTATATTAAAAATTCTTCAGTTTAATGGAACAACAATAAAAAAACTTGCCAATAAAACAAGTTACCTTTCTTGCTTTCACAATTAATGCTGATAAAATTTTCCTTCCACTCTCAGCAAGGAATATCCTGTTAGCTCTTTCTGAAAGAATGACCTGAAAAAAATATCCACCCCCAAGCAAAGAAAAAAGAGACCTGAAGTTAATTTGAATAGACATTTAACTTTATAGCACATCTACACACAAATAACCCTAATGCAGTCAATGCACTGTACGTGGTACTATTTCAGCAGGCAGACCACAGAGAAAGTTCTAATTTATTAAAATGAAATGTGCTCTTGAAACCTATAATCAAAAAAGATTAAATGGAGATAAATCTGAATTTAAATTCTGTTCAATTTAATATTAGAAAGACCAAATTAAATGGTACACAGCCCCAAAACATAAAAAAATAAAGATAATTTTGTTGCCTAATGACCTTGTTGCATTTTAGGAAATCAATGATTTTACAATTGATGCAAATAAAAAAAATCTAGAACACATACTAACTGATAATAAAAAAGGAAAATTTTTATTTTAAGCAGCTATTTGTACACATCTCCAGCATCAAAAGACCCTGTTTTGATGAAGTTTGGTGAACCTGGAAGCTATGGGGGAGGACAATGACAAATGAAGCCAATGAAGGGAAACAGCAGGCAGGAAAAATAAACTTGGTAAACTGTATTTTTGCCATTGGGAATAAGAATAACAAAGAGCAAAGAGCTGTTCTGTTTATATGCAGCTGGACTCTACAGCATGAGGGTGGGGATGAGTGGCTCAGTAAAGTTGCTTAATGTTAAAAAAAGTACCTGAAAAGCCTGTCGAACACAGTGAAGTTTGGCAAGAAAATCACTGTCTCCTAGGCACTCCAGCATTTCAGTTCTGTGCAATAAACAGGGGAGAGAACTGTTACACTGCATTCAAGAGCAAGCCTTGTACAAATTTGGACTTAAACAAGGCTTAACCTCAGGACATTAGTAAAAACACATGTTTTTTCAATACTGACAAAACATATAAATAATCTTTTTTGAGCCTAAAAATATACTTTCCCCTGTCCTCATGAACACCTTCAATAAGTATTATACAAACATGGCAACAACACCTGAACATTTTTCATAAACATAAGCAAAACTGAAATGGTACCTAAGCACTCTTGAGTAAATTTTTCCTTCCTCAACCAAATGCATGGCTTCTTCGTAGAAAGGGCAGTGGCAAAGGGACTCCAGACTGTAAGTATGCCGTGCATCTCTGTGTTCTGCAAGCTAAACGTTACAGGGGGTAAGATAAAACGGACTACAAAGATATAAGAGAAAACTACAGAACATACAAAGTAGGGTTTCATCAAAATATATTCAATTTGATTAAACCACAAAAATCACACAGTAACATTTTATAACTAGTAAGAGCTGAATTCATTTTATTTCAAAATTTAGTAGTAAGAAAGAGTAAAACTTCATAACAAACTTAATTCATTTTAAATCCAATTACTTAAATCCACAGGGTGTACAGAAAAAGTTTAATTTTATAGTTCACCAACAAAAACAATCAAAGATGAAGCATTAAAAAAAAGAGATTTTATCATCTATCCAATGAATGCTTAAGAGTATTTTAACTCACAACTGTAAATGAAGTAAAACTTTCTACAAAAACACTGAAATAATCTCAATTTGGCTAATTTGAATGAATTTTCATTGTATGTATTATAATAAAACCATAATTTTGTTATAATTTATTAATCATAAACATAATTTATTGACTTATATATACAATATTTATTATTATAATTTGTATTATATATTATTTGACTCACCTTTGTATAACTGAAAAATAGTCATGTATCTCTCTCTGGCTAGTATAACAACTCTACAAATGCAGTTCCAGTCTTCCCACAGTTCATTAAAAAACAACTGCAAACACTACAGAGTAGTCAGCTAAGCAAGAATTCTTGGAATAATTTGTTTTTCTTTTTAAAAATATTTTATTTATTTATCTTCAGTGGGGAAGGAAAGGAGAGAGAAAGAGAAACATCAATGTATGGTTGCTTCTCATGCATCCTCTGCTGGGAACTGGCCTGCAACCCAGGCATGTGCCCTGACAGGGAATTGAACCATGATCCTTTGGCTCACAGGCCTGCGCTCAATCTACTGAGCTACACCAGCCATGGCAGAATAATTTATTTCTCAATACCATATGATACATTTAAATGGCATGCAGTAGGGTTTTTAACTTTTTAATAACAATTTTACTGAGATATAATTAACATATCATAAAATTCACCCTTTTATGTGTACAACCCAGAGTTTTTAGTACAGGAATCTCTTCTTATCCACAGTTTCACTTTCCATGGTTTGTTACCTGCAGTGAACTGTGGTTCAAAGACATTAAATGGGAAATTCCAGATATAAACAATTCATAAGTTTTATTTAATTTTTTAATCTTCTCCCAGGGACATATTTTCACTGATTTTAGAGAGAGAGAGGAAGAAGGAGAGGAAAAAGGGTAAGAGAGAGAGAGAGAGAGAGAAAGAGAGGGGAGGGAGGGAGGGAGAGAAGGAGAGAGAGAAAGAAACACTGATGTGAGAAACACTGACTGGTTGCCTCCCATATTCACCCACAACTGAGGACTGAACCTTCAACCTAGGCATGTGCCCTGACAGGGGTTTGAACCAGCAACCTTTTGGTTTATAGAACGATACTCCAACCAACTGAGCTATAAGCCAAGGCCATAAATTTTTAATTGCTCGCTGTTTTTAGAATCATGGTGAAATCTCACACTGTTCCACTCTTTCCCGTTCTGAACATGAATCATCCCTTACATTTGTCAAATTCCAATTAATCATTTTTCCTTTTGTCTGCTTTAACTCCTTAACTTTACTTCCTGCTTGTGCAGAACATCAAGATATCAAGGTCAGAAGGCCTCTGGTCAAGATGGTGGGTATGTAAATGCAGTACTCACATCCTCCCACAACCACATCAACATTAAAACTAAACTGCAGGACAACCATCATATAGAACCACCTCAAATCTGACTGCACAGAAGTCCTACACTTAGGGAATTAAAGAAGCCACACTGAGACTGGCAGGAGGAACAGAGACACAGAATGGGCTGGACGCACGTCCATGTGAGGCGATAAAAATCGGGAGGGATAACTCGGCTGTAGAGGTCCCCCCTCGAGGTGTGAAGGGTCCCAACCACATACCAGGCCCTCCAGCCCAGGGTTTCAGGGACAGGAAGTGAGTCCCTATAAATTCTGGCTATAAAAACCAGCGGGGACTGAGGCAGAGGGAGATGGAGGGTTTCTAAAGTCCCAAACAGTTCCTCTTAAGGGGCCCGTGCTCAGAGTTCCTCAGACTCACTCCTTCTCAGGTCCAGCTGGGGCAGGAGTTTGAAAGACACGAGAGACATACAGGGAGAAAGTGAACTGTCCGGCATCACAACAAGAGATGGAGGGTACAGCTTTCTCCCAAACAGAGCTGCTGGTAGAAGCCATCATTTCTTTGATGAGCCTTCCTCCCACAGAGCCAGCGGGTGGGCTTCATATCTGAGACTCCATTTACCTGACTCACACTCTTTTTGCCCTACTCTGCTGATTCCCTGAGACCCTGTCCCACTCAACTTGGGGGCTCATTCAAATTGTTGCTAATGGCTTTTCCAAACAAATAGCCTCTTGACTCATGCTTCAGGGAATAAAATCTCTCAAACAAGCAGCAGCTGGCCTCAGTGTGCCCTGAACCTCTCACTAAGTGGCCCCAGGCCTGGCTGTATCATAATTTGGCCTTGGTTTACAGCTTGGCCACACCTGGGCACCTCTAAGCCCAGAACAAGTAGCAGACATCTGCATTGCTTTGTAGCCCATGCCAGGTGGACCCAGGTAGAACACAGGATACGGCCGAACTTGGCCTGCACCTCCCAGAAGTCCCCAAGTCCAGCACACCCAGTGGACAGATTCAGACCACATTGAAGCATCACCACCAATTACTTCCACAAAGAACATACTCAAAGGGCAGACTCAGAGGGTACCAGAGCCCTGCTGATGTAAGTCTTGCTCTATGGGGTGGGGCCCTGGCACAGCTGATCCTCCACAGTGGTCAGAGGTCAATCAGTGATCAATGGTTACAATCAGTCATTACAGCTAATTGGCCTGGGCGTAAATCCCTCCCACTGATGTGCCAAAAGCAATCAAGGCTCAACTACAACAGGAGGGTTACACAGTCCACACAAGGGACACACCTGAAGTGCCAGCCTGGGTGATCAGGAAGCTGTGCCACTGGAGCCTACAGGGCACCTTCTACAAAAGATCACTCTACCAAGACTGAGAGCCATAGCAACTCTACTTCATACAAGAAACAAACACAGGGAGGCTGCCAAATGAGAATGCAAAGAAACATGGCCCAAATGAAAGGAAAGAACTCAAGGGAAAAAATAAAACAAAGTGAAAACAACCAATCTACAAGATTCAGAGTTCAAAACACTGGTTATAGGGTAGTCAGTACTTACTGAGAACTTCAACGACTCTCACTAAAATTAATATATTTTATTTAAAATATTTCATAAAAAAGGACCAGTCAAAAATGAAGGACACATTAACTGAAATGTAAAATAATTTATAGCAAACAAATAGTTGTGTAGATGAAGCTGAGAATCATCAGTGATTTGGAATATAAGGAAGCAGAAAATACCCAATCAGAACAGCAAAAAGAAAAAAGAATCCAAGAAAATGAGGGTAGTGTAAGGAGCCCTGGGACAACTTAAAGTGTACCAACACGTGCATCATGAGAGAGATAAAAGGAGAAGAGAGAGAGGAAGAAATTGTAAATCTATCTGAAAAATCTTACAGCCAAGATGGAGGTATGATAGATACACATTGCCTCCATGTACAACTAAAAGAACAACAACAAATTTAAAAATAAAAAATAACCAGAACTGCCAGAAAAATTGAACTTTACGGAAGTCTGATAACCAAGGAGTTAAAGAAGAAACATTCATTCAGTCCAGTAGGAAGGATGGAGATGGGCAGCCTTGCCAGAGAGGATTTGAGCCAAGCCAGCAACTGGAGGACTGGCAGGTGAGGCAGCAGCTGGTGGACTGAGTAGACCCTCATATGTGTGCAGATAACTGGGAGGAACAACTGGGGACCCAGACAGACTGCACAACCCAGAGCTCCAATGCAGGGAAATAGAGCCTCAAAACTGCTGGCTATAAAGACCTATGGGGGTTGTGGCGGCAGGAGAAACTCCTAGCCACACAGGAGAGTTGACTGGAGAAACCCACAAGGTCCTAGAATGTACACAAGCTCACCACCCAGCAACTGGCACCAGAAGGGCCCAATTTGCTTGTGGGTAGTAGAGGAAGTGACTGAAAGCCAGCCAAGAGTTGAGCAAATGGCATTATTCCCTCTCTGACCCCTCCCCTACATACAGCACCACAATGCAGGAATGTGGGTTGCCCCACCCTGGCAAACACCTAAGTCTCCACCCTTTACTACATAAGAACTGTGCTGAGACAAAAAAAAATATTGCCCAAATGAAAGAACAGATCAAAGCTCCAAAAACATAACTAAGCAATGAAGAGAGAGCTAACCTATCAGATGCACAGTTCTCAACACTGGTCATCGGGATGCTCACAGAAATGGTTGAGTATGGCCACAAAATAGAGGAAGAAGGGAAGACTTTACAAGGTAAAATAAAGAAAAGTATACAGGGAACCAACAGGAAGGGAAGGAAATCCAGACTCAAATCAATGATTTGGACCAGAAGGAAATAAACATTCAACCAGAACAGAATGAAGAAACAAGAATTCAAAAAAAGTGAGGAGAGGCTTAGGAACCTATGGGACAGCTTTAAACATTCCAACATCCACATCATTGGGGTTCCAGGAGGAGAAGAGGAAGAGCAAGAAATTGAAAACTTATTTGAAAAAATAATAAAGAGCTTCCCCAACCTGACAAAGGGAATAGATGTCCAGGAAGCCCAGAGAGTCCTGAAGAAGTTGGACTCAAGGAAGCACACACCAGGCACAACACAATTACATTACCCAAGACTAAAGATAAGGAAAGAATCTTAAAAGCAGATAGAGAAAAAGAGACAGTTACCTACAAAAGTTCCCATAAGACTATCTATCAGCTGACTTCTGAAAAGAAACCTTGCAGGCAAGAAGGGGCTGGAAAGTATTCAAAGCCATGAAAGGCAAGAACCCACCTCCAAGATTACTCTATCCAGCAAAGCTATCATTTAGAATGGAAGGGCAGATAAAGTGCTTCCCA